TCGTAACTGTGTATGGTTAAACTGTGGCAGTACTCTGTTGGATAAACGAAGATATATTATATCTCTCTCTGTCGCGCGATTTGGCAAGAAAATGGCGTCGCTTCTCATATGGCGCCACTCTGATTAGAGGCTCTCTAATTTGGCCGGCCTTTCAGCATCCTCTTAACGCCGAGCACTGAACTAGAGAGACCAATTCAGGGTGCGTTCTTACTGAGCGCGTCACGTGTAAGAAATACGCTTTCCGTCCAACGCATGCTTCTCATTGGTCTTTATAGTTCATAGTTCAATGTCCATTTTGCAGAGGCTCTGAAACCAGCTCAATCTTAGAGCTCTGCTTAGTCTCTCTACAGTCTACTCAATCTCCGGTTACAGCTAAATCGCGGCCCGCGGGCATGGCAGATGGCTGCTCTTAGGATCCTCTCTAGTTATACTCTTAAGTGTTTTGAACCGAAATGGATATGATTGTGTGGTGCTTGTACCATATATACTGCAGAAATTCATATTTTCAATGTGGTAGATATTATCTTGTTGATTAATGCGTTATTGATTATGGCAGAATTAGAAAAAGGTGAAGAGGTTGTCAATTACTGCTAATGTGTATATTTGCAGTTACATAATGGGAACATAAGTAATGACAGTTAATACGATGTCATTGTCAGTGGATGCAATTGTATATAGTGTAAAAACAACTATAAACATAAATATTTTGAGACAGATAGAAGATGATCTTGATCTAGATGAGAAGATTTCTATATTATTCTTAATAATAGACAATTATGCCGATGGGTTTAATGATATTTTTAAACTTTTTCAAATGAAGACAGAAAATGTTTACATAATTGTAGATTATGTAAAAAACCATCCAGAAAATTGGGAAGAGAAAATTTTAGAAGCATTATGTATTTTGAACAATCGAGAAGTAATAAAGAAGTTAAATATATCATTCAGTGATTTGAATTTACAGTATATTCCAAAGCTCACATCATATTCAAGAAATATAAATGTAATTGCAAAGTGTTTATATAGATTATGTGAATATTTAAATGAAAATGAACAAAAACTATTATTAAATTATGTTAAATCTGAAAATCATAATTATGAATCATTACTGGACAATGTATATTATCTTGAATTACATATGCTTTATTGGATGCAAATTGGATATATAACAATTACGAAAGGTATGTTTAATATATAATCTCTGATAATTAACAGTTTATTTATACAAACAGAAAGTAAAAATGTTTTTGAAATAAAAATTTTAAAATTTAAAAAGAATGTTATAATTAAATACATATAGTAATATATTGCAATTAATTTAATAAAACTGTAATAAATTTATAGAGATAAATGGTATAGTAAAGAAATTTACTTTATGCATTATACAGAATGTGCTTGTTTTAGCTCAAACAATTAGAATATTTGTTGTTTAATAATAACAACAAAACATTAAAGGAAAAAATTATTTGTTTTATGAGAAAAATACATTATGACAGGTAGTATCTTTTTCATGCATTTTCATATTATTTTATGAAAATTTCTAAACTACCTCTATCTTTTTACATAATATATGATTTTTTGGTACAATATGATTTCTTTAGTTATTAGGCATATAAAAGTAGAATTAAAATATATAAAATTATCAAAAATTGTTTATAACACATTTTCTAGTTTATGTCACAAAATATGCAAGAATATCAAAATATCAAATACTCAAACTCTTAATTTTTTGATAACTTTACTTTAATACTTTTACATGCAGGACAAAGAAATTAGATTATATAAAAAAGATTATAATTTCAATTTAAAAATGGAAGTAATCTTAATATCTCGTAATAAGTATGAAACAAAATTCTGCTTGTTATAATATTTGCACTTTCAAAACAAATAACTTTTTTTTTAAATATTTTATCGTATTATTAAAAACAACAGAAATATTTTTATATATTACATAAACTCAAAATATCTAAAACTCAAGAAATTTCTACATATTATATATATTATAACATATTATATCTATAATATAAAATAGTTTTGGTTTGCATAATTTTTGTTTTTATATAAATATTTAAAAATGTTTAAAACAATTTTATAATTGAAAGTTTTAATAATTGAAAAATAACATATTGAAAACAAATTAAATATAATAAGATTACATTAGAACAATACTTTTTGTTGAATTTAAATGAATGTTAGCAATATAGAATTAAAATAAGTGTTTATATTATTCTGTTTTAGGTAAAACGCATAATATAAAAAAGTTATTAAAACATTTAAAAGAATTTAATAATGGCCATTTAAAAATAATTTGTATGGAGTTAGAACAATTTGAGAATGTTGTTGATAATTGTGGAACTTTTGGAACAAGTAATGAAAATTACTTAAAGTCAACTTCTTCAGCAGAATCATCCCTTATTAAAGAGCATCACTACAGAAAAAAAATACAATCCATTAACAGTGGACTGTGTATTATTATAAATCAGATGTATTTTGAAAAAGAGGTATTGCTATTGATTTTAATAAATGATGAAAATATATTTTATATTTTTATTGTTCAGTATATTCTATATTTTTATTTTCAGTATGAAACACGATTTGGAACAAATGCTGATTGTATTAGTCTATCTGAAACATTTGAATCCTTTGGGTTTAGAATTGAGATACTTCAAAATTTGAAGAAAAACACAATGTTAGAGAAAATAAAAAACATTTCGAGAGACTATGGTAAAACATATGATTGTTTATTTCTCTGTATTTTGAGTCACGGATATAAAGGTGAGTAATATTTATATACAATAAGAAATTTTTTTGAATAAATTTAACTTCTTTCTGCTTCAAAATATATAAATAATATTTCATTAAGACATCTCAATAAAGTGGTGGTAATGAATCACGTTATACCGCATGTTTAACCTTTATTTTCTATAATTATTATTAATTAAGATTACCTCAATGATCATTAAGTAATTTTATATCATAGGAGGTGTAATTGCATCAGATGAGAAAGAAGTTTCTCTGGAAACAATTGAAAGGGCTCTTTGTTGTAGCGAATTGAAAGATGTTATAAAAATTGTTATTATTCAAGCTTGTCAAGGAAAGACACGTGGTAATGAAAGAAAGTTATACAAAAGTTAAACTTATAATTTTAATATACATTTGAAAAAAATTGAATTTAGTGTATTATAAACAATTTTAAAGATTTGTGTTTAAGAGGATCCTAAACCCTAGATCAAACTCCAAAAATCCGCTGTTTTACCGACAATTTATGAGTATGTATGCGTGCGATATTGATGTAGTAATGTGTAGTGATGTGTCATGAGATCACAAGAGCAC